TAAGTAGTTTGCTATGTCTCAAGACTGGACTAGACTTAACCAGTGACTGACTAAAAGTCCTCACATAAACTAACTTCTTGACCAACCTAGCAATCAGAACAGCTTGCTTGAACAATAAAACGACTGAGAGGAAATGGTATGGTGATACCGACAAGATGTGGAAAAAGACATTTATGTACAGTTCAGGACATTTATTAGAGGAAACGTTTCGCCACGAGTGGCTTCTTCAGTCCTAATACAGAGAAGTATGTATGTATAATGTTCGCCAAGACCGTAGTCCTGGCACGGGTCTCAATCTTGCGATGACCCGTCTAAATACAGAGAAAACTAAGAAAACGTATATATATAGTGGCAGGAGTCAGGTGAGGTGACGCGTGGGTAGAGGTGGTAGTAGTAGTAGTAGTAGTAGTAGTAGTGGAACTAAGGAGGTGATGCTGGAGAGGGACCTGCTGGCATCATGTAACACCAGTTCCCAGGATGGGTAATATCTCACGGATTCTCAACATCCCTTCTCTCCTGCTACTTACCACTACCTACGAGAGTGCAAGGAAAATCTATCAACTTGCTCCAAAGATTATTTCCATAGTGCTCACCTAGTTCTCACTTCCCTTCCCGCCCCTGACAGACGCACCGCCGAACACATCCTAAGCAAAGTTACCACCGCCAACCTACAGCAGAAATTACGGCTCTCAAGAAAACTTTCCTCTCTCTGTCAACACAGCAAATGGAAAGACATTGGTAGAGCTGACATCATCAATAACCTTTCTTCTTATGTTCTCAGTGATACAGAGTCCGAAGCACTCAGCTTAGGTCTCAAGTTTGCTACTGGCATAAGGAAGCCTAAATGTGAGTTAGACACAGTGATCAAAAACCATGACTTCGGTGACTCTGAATTTAACAAAGGTTTCATGCAAGGACTTATTGCAGCTGCAGCTTCTGAACCTAGTCGTCCAGTCATTCCACGTCGCTACATCCAGGCACTCAAAAACATGGCCACTAATAATGATATTCTCATCACCACAGCGGACAAAGGAGGAGTGGTCATCCTCAATAGTACAGACTACGTTAGTAAGATGCAAGATCTATTGAACGACGCCAACACATACCTTTCCATCCCCGAACATGCATGGAAGAAAGAAACAGATTCCTTTCTCAGTAAGACCCGCAGTATACTCAGGAAATCAGAAGAAGGTAAAAAGCTCTTGCGCCTCATCCCTACCAACCCCAAGTCAGCAAGACTTTATGGTTTACCAAAGACCCACAAACCAAATATGCCTATGAGACCCATTACATCCGGAATCGGCAGCGCCCCACACAGTCTGGCAGGAGTTTTGGCGAAATATTTGTCTAAGCTCCTGGGTACAATCAGTCAGGCTCACCTAAACCCATTCGGGTGACCTCCTTAACCGTATCAGGGATCTCGACATGAGTGATAAGAAGCTTGCAAGTTTTGACGTGACTGCCTTATTCACCAATGTCTCAGGTGATCAAGCCATTGATTTTCTTCTCAGGGTGATTAAAGATGATACAGAGTTACGTGTACCCCGCCAAGATTTTGTGAGCCTTGTCGAACTTTGTGTTCGTTATAACTGTTTTAGGTTTAAAGACAAGAAGTACAAACAACTCTTCGGACTAGCCATGCAGTTCTTGCAGTTCTTGTCAATTTATATATGGAGGACCTGGAATCAAGAAGGATCCTCAGTAACATCCCTCGTTCAGTTACATGGATGCGGTACGTTGATGATATTTTGGCCATTGTACCCAAAAATCTAGACGTACGGGACATCCTCAACACCAACAACACTCTGGAACTTACTATTAAATTTACACTAGAGGAGGAGGACAATCAATTACCTTTTCTCGACGTTCTCTTACGCACAGGGGAAAACAAACTTTCTTTTAAAGTCTACCGGAAGCCTACCTACAAGAACGATCTTCTACATTTCTTCTCTCACCATGACACAAGAACTAAAAGAAGGGTAGTTATTGGCTTCTTTCTGAGAGCCTACAGAATTTCCAGTCCGCAGTTCCTCGAAGAAGAATGTACATACATCGCCAACTCTTTTAGTTCACTACACTTTCCCCTACACTTCATGCGTGACTGCAGGAAACGTGCGACACGTATCCTCAGCAAGACCAACACCAATCAAATTGAAGAAAAGCCTCCAAGTTACATCGTTTTACCGGTCAGCAACGTTGCCACTAATGTTTCAAAAATGTTTGACAGAAAACTGCTAAAATGTCTACCAGCTCTTCAACTGCTATTAGGAACCTGATACAAAAACCCAAGCATGATTCTGTTCTGGCACAAGTGCAGGAATCTACACTATACCATGTGGGGGGTGTGACAAAGTATATTTAGGGGAAACAGCCAGATCTCTGGACATTAGGATAGCAGAACACAAAAATGCTTGCAGAAATGATGACCGCAAAAACGCATGTGTTCAACATAGGGACGACGTTGGACACCTCATGAAATTCAATGAAGCTAAACTAGTGATTGAAGAAGACGACTTAAGACGGAGAAAATGCATTGAAGCTGCACTAATTTCTATCAGTAACACTATAAAGCAAAAATCCGGTAGTTACAGTATTTCAAAATTACTAAGCAACAGGATATTACCCATCCTGGGAACTGGTGTTACATGATGCCAGCAGGTCCCTCTCTAGCATCACCTCCTTAGTTCCACTACTACTACTACTACTACTACCACCTCTACCCACACGTCACCTCACCTGACTCCTGCCACTATATATATACGTTTTCTTAGTTTTCTCTGTATTAGGACTGAAGAAGCCACTCGTGGCGAAACGTTTCCTCTAATAAATGTCCTGAGCTGTACATAAGTGTCTTTTTCCACAATAAAACGAATGTTAAGCCGAACAACAATATAACAAGCAACAGCGACACAGAATCAGCAACAAGGAGATCATATAACTACACTAAGTGGGGACCATCAGAAGATCCTCCACAAAAGTCACAAAACTCCCATACTACTGAATCTAAGTTCAGCATAAGAAAATCCCCGACTGTGACAGTACACAGATACCAGTACAAATTAGGTCAGAAGCTACAGCTCAGGACCTGAGTTGCTCAGTGTCAACGCGACACAACCTCAGTACAACGTCGAAAATCACCAAGTCTAGGCAATGTTCTGTGAACAGAGTTACACAGAACCAACAACAAGAGAGCGACAGAGACGATCTTCTAACAAGAGCCAGTAAGGAAGACACGTCTTGTTGGAAGACAAGCCAAACATAAAAGAAAGTGAGTCAAAGCAAGACAGTCTCACCCAGATGAAGTGTGATCACCCCCCCCCCCGATCACGTGACTCTCCGTGGACTGCTGATGCCCAGCAACACAGAGAAGCCGGCAGGGAAACAAGCAGAACTGGTAGTTAGACAATGTTGTCAGCTACTTAACACACGAACAACGAGCACTGAATAATATATGAACGTTATATCCTACCTAATAATATAACTAAGTCAAATAATAATATAAAGCAATATATTTACGATTTAGCTAATATCGCAAATATCAGCAATATAAAATTATATGAACAGGTAATATACATTATATACATTGTGACCCATTCAGGGGTTGCAATAGTACCAGCTTGGTAGCTCTCCTCTGTACCCTCTCCAGTGATGGTACCAGCTTGGTAGTTCTTCTCTGTACCCTCTCCAGTGATGGTACCAGCTTGGTAGGTCTTCTCTGTACCCTCTCCAGTGATGTTACCAGCTTGGTAGCTCTTCTCTGTACCCTCTCCAGTGATGGTACCAGCTTGGTAGGTCTTCTCTGTACCCTCTCCAGTGATGTTACCAGCTTGGTAGCTCTTCTCTGTACCCTCTCCAGTGATGGTACCAGCTTGGTAGGTCTTCTCTGTACCCTCTCCAGTGATGGTACCAGCTTGGTAGTTCTTCTCTGTACCCTCTCCAGTGATGGTACCAGCTTGGTAGGTCTTCTCTGTACCTCTCCAGTGATGGTACCAGCTTGGTAGTTCTTCTCTATACCCTCTCCAGTGATTTGGGACCAGTTTTGGGAGGTCTTCTCTGTACCCTCTCCAGTGATGGTACCAGCTTGGTAGGTCTTCTCTGTACCCTCTCCAGTGATGGTACCAGCTTGGTAGGTCTTCTCTGTACCCTCTCCAGTGTGGTACGGCTTGGTAGTCTTCTCTGTACCCTCTCCAGTGATGGTACCAGCTTGGTAGCTCTTCTCTGTACCCTCCCCAGTGATGGTACCAGCTTGGTAGCTCTTCTCTGCACCCTCTCCAGTGATGGTACCAGCTTGGTAGCTCTTCTCTGTACCCTCTCCAGTGATGGTACCAGCTTGGTAGTTCTTCTCTGTACCCTCTCCAGTGATGGTACCAGCTTGGTAGGTCTTCTCTGTACCCTCTCCAGTGATGGTACCAGCTTGGTAGGTCTTCTCTGTACCCTCTCCAGTGATGGTACCGGCTTGGTAGCTCTTCTCTGTACCCTCTCCAGTGATGGTACCAGCTTGGTAGCTCTTCTCTGTACCCTCCCCAGTGATGGTACCAGCTTGGTAGCTCTTCTCTGCACCTCTCCAGTGATGGTACCAGCTTGGTAGCTCTTCTCTGCACCCTCTCCAGTGATGGTACCAGCTTGGTAGTTCTTCTCTGTACCCTCTCCAGTGATGGTACCAGCTTGGTAGCTCTTCTCTGTACCCTCTCCAGTGAGGGTACCAGCTTGGTAGCTCTTCTCTGTACCCTCTCCAGTGATGGTGCCAGCTTGGTAGCTCTTCTCTGTACCCTCTCCAGTGATGGTACCAGCTTGGTAGCTCTTCTCTGTTCCCTCTCCAGTGATGATACCAGCTTGGTAGCTCTTCTCTGTACCCTCTCCAGTGATGGTACCAGCTTGGTAGCTCTTCTCTGTACCCTCTCCAGTATGGTACCAGCTTGGTAAACTTTCTCTGTACCCTCTCCAGTGATGGTACCAGCTTGGTACTCTTCTCTGTACCCTCTCCAGTGATGGTACCAGCTTGGTAGTTCTTCTCTGTACCCTCTCCAGTGATGGTACCTGCTTGGTAGCTCTCCTCTGTACCCTCTCCAGTGATGGTACCAGCTTGGTAGCTCTTCTCTGTACCCTCTCCAGTGATGGTACCAGCTTGGTAGTTCTTTCTGGGATCCCCTCCAGTGATGGTACCTGCTTGGTAGCTCTTCTCTGTACCCTCTCCAGTGATGGTACCAGCTTGGTAGCTCTCCTCTGTACCCTCTCCAGTGATGGTACCAGCTTGGTAGCTCTCCTCTGTACCCTCTGCAGTGATGGTACCAGCTTGGTAGCTCTTCTCTGTACCTCTACAGTACATAATCGTCTTTTAGGTAATTCTGGAAGGCAGACTGGAGACCAGGTTCAAGCTGAGAACCAACAAGTGCAATACAAGGAATCAATATTGTGTCTGGTGTATAGTACTTGAAGTATCGAGCTATGAAAGCCAGGAATCTATTAGCATTGTTGCTGGCAGACAGCCATGAAGCCTACTGTTCTGTCAGCCTTTTTGATGGCAGACAACCACTGTTTGGTAACTGTATATATTATTATAATTTTATTATATATATATATATATATATATATATAATATATATAAAATATATATATATATATATATATATATTATATTTCATAATTTTTGATACTGTGAAGCACATGTTATAACTCTGTGTCTTTGTGTATGCTCGCCTGCCTGTCTCACCCTCTTTCCTGCTTGTCAGTACAACTTCCTGCTGGCTGGTGTCAGTCTGCCTTACCTGCAATGTCAGTCAGTGAGGACAGCTGACAGACGCTACCTGCCAAAAGGAGTAACACTGTAGGGATGCAAGTAGGAAACATTTAGGAAGGTGAATATCACAGCATATTCACAGGTGTAAAGACAGTGCCAAGGGAACATATATATATATTATATATAATATATATATATATATATATATATTTATATATATTAATAA